CGCGCCGGGCCGGGGCGGCGCCCGCGCCGGCCGGTCAGCAAAACACACCGCTAATAGAGCCCGATTTCACGGCAGATGCCCGCGCCAGATGGATCGGAGCGGCCGGACGGCATCGGGCGCCGATCGCCTGCCCCGCCCTGACGCCCCGGCGCCCCGGAATAACGCCCTGACGCCCCGGGATGACGCCCCGGCGCCCCGGGATAACGCCCTGACGCCCCGGGATGACGCCCTGACGCCCCCGGGGGATGACGCCCTGACGCCCCGGTACCGGGACGCCCTGGAGCTGACGCCCCAAAACACTAGAGATACCGTGCTCTAAACTGACGCTCGAAGCTAGCATCTTGGAGGGATAACGCCTCGCCAAGTGACTTTACGCCATGGTTCCACTAAATGTCATCTCAGTGTCTTCACTGCGACTTCTCCGTTTGTCTTGTTCCGTCTGGTCACTTTCGTGGCTCAGCGCCACTTCACGCACCCACTTTGCTCTTACATATCCTGCTCCGTCCACCAGCTCCAACCCAACCACCCACCTGCCATCATTGGGGCGGCTCGTGCGGAACCCCAAATTGCCACGCATCAAACGCCTCTCCGTCGCGATTTGATCGGATCGCGCCCGCAGGTGGACATTGAGACGGGCTGCCGGCGCACGCGCGATCCCCGGCCCGGCCACACACGGCGCCAGGACGGCCGACCGGGGCGGTACACCGCGGCGGCGCCACCATTGATCTCCGCAGCGCATGATCTAATTGGCTCTAATTCTCTCGGCCGGTGCATTATCGAGCCCGGCCGCGGCGCTCGGTTTTATCGGACCATCCGTTAGCGGTGGGCGGAGAGGTAAACAAACGGAATGAAGCTGTTAATGGCGTGCCCTTAGTGCCACACCTTCACTAATGGCCATTACCGTAAGCAATAGCTTATCTCAAACACATTCAAGTGCGTGTGCAAACACCTGGGGCTCCATGTTGATATAATACAAATTGTGTAAGCTCACTTGTTATGCATGATGAAAGTTTCAACACCGCGCACCGATCAGCGTTTCTTAACGCATAAAATCAGTCGCACATCAAATATGATATCACAAATGTCATTGTAAAAACATACAGTGCCATTCCATATTTCAGCGCCACTTTCATGTCTTTTATTTATGACGGCGGGAGCAACAGGTAGAACAGCGAGCAATGAACATAAACCATACTCTCTTCCTTTGTATATCATCACAAGATCTTCTCTTCACCACAGCAAAGCTTTGTGCGTGTTCCCTCGGCCGCTCGGCATTTCCATCTTCCCCACAAGAAACTATCTCATTTTCCGGGCGCACAAAAGGCACGCTTCCATGCTGTACGCGTCCCGCCCCCATTCCAGGTTCCCACGGTAGCGCAGACCGGCGCTCTTTGAACTCCTCTCTTGATTCATTCCCCCGAAGCGGCCCAGCCCTTTAAGCGCCGGTGCTATCCAATTACCATGGTCAGTTGAGAGGAGCGTGCGGCGGCGCCGGGGGTCAGGCCGTGGCAGACTGGCTGCCCTCAGCGGGGTTTGGGATAATCTCGACAGAGCTCGCAGGTCACCCGGGGGTCACCAGGCGGAGTCGAGCGTCGTCCTCTGGTCCCAGCGTCGGCAGCCCGAGAGGCACTGCGGCACAGTCTATCCTCCCGGCGTCCCACCGCTGCGAGCGCCCGAGACGCGAGATGGTAGCCGGTTTTTACGATAATCGACACTGGGAATCTATTATGGCGCGCTGTTACAATAAAGGGCCGGCGTCGGCAGCGGCCGGCGCTGTCGGCTTTTTCAGGCCCGGCATTGAGCGGGGGCGCGGCGGCGGCGGCCAACTTCAGACGCGCCGCGCCCGATACCATCTGTGCATTATTACGGCCGGCACCGGGACAGTATGGGGCCGAAACGGCCGCGTCACTCGATTAAATCACAGACGGCCGCCGGTTGCAGTGGCGCGGCGGCCGGCGATCGGCCGCCGCCGGCCTCTCCGCTCGGTGGGAGCCATTGTGACCTGCCGGTGGGAAGGTGGCTCCACTGAGGAGCCGTCAAAGGGTGGCGGTGCGGCTGCATTCACGGCACCGGTTATTGTACCGAGGAGATGATTTCATTGGAGTGGTGTGGGAACCGTGTGAGTACCTGGTTGCAAGCTAGCAGCTATAGTTCATGAATCGAAACAGCCCAATGATCAGATCCCTTGGCTATGCAGCCGCCATTGACAGCTCCAAGCGTGACACACGGTCTCTTTTTCTCACCCCCGCTCAGTCGTGATATTATTGCCCGGTCAAGATTCCACTCAACCATGGACTCACCATTTCTGAATAAAAGAGGCTATATACCTAATCTACCACGCCACTCCAACACAACAGCCTATGTCCCACAGCTTCTCACCATGCCCTCTCACATCCCATCATGACCGACCGCGTCCCACATCGCCCCAGTGTCTGGATCGCGCACCCAAAGCCCAGCCCTCCCTAGCCCTACCCCATATCGCCGTCCAGCGGGTGTATGCCTGCACAGGGCAGGTATATGGCGGTCAGTGGCTATACGGCACCACTCCCGCTAACCGTCTCCGTCCCATTCACTGTGTAACCGGAGTCGACCGGTCGGCTATCGGCCCTTCATCGGCCAGCTAATGGCCCTCACTGCCCACCGCTCAGGTCAGCTTACAAAGGTGCTGGTCCGAGCCATCCGTCGCAGGGTTAACAGGGCGCTGGGTCTGATCCTCCGCTTTAGGGTGTGATGTATGAGCGTGAGCAGTTCAGATACCGTGGTCTATGCCTGGTATGTGAACACGAATATGTTCAGTTGCTGCGCTCTAATGCAATACTGGATCAGTAATATCTTGCAGTGAGCATTGGACAGAATACTTTGGATCAGCTGAGCTGTCGTGTGGACTGTAGAACATTTCTGAATCAACTCGATGTTTCAATCTATAATCTGTTGCTACTCACACAACCATTCACAATCGCTATGCATGTTATCAGTCTGTTCGACATCTACATATGTAGTTTGTATCGCCCTAAATTAGCATACGTTCGCCCTCCCACCGGCCCAACCGTGCTGTGTTTGCTTTATACACCCACCCTCTGCTAACATTGCCTGTCAGCTGTGCGATCTGCGGGGACATTATTCAGTCCTAAATCCACTCAGTGTTCCAATTGGTTTTCCGGGTTCTCAGCGGGCAGCTGAGTTAGGACGACACCCATCACGCGGCGGGTGTCCCCTCTATTAGCGGTGAGGAGGTGAGGGTACCGGTTACGGCACCGCACTGGCTCAATGGGGCCAGTGGGCTCAGTGGCTGGGGCTCAATGGGAGCTAGGGCTCAGTGGGGCTCATGTTGATTCACAATAGGAACAAGGAGTCTAGTAGTGGGACTGGGCGATAATTTTGGTCTGCTTTTCGTAGCCAGCAAGTGCGACAATTTGACTGTCGTAGGGCGACTGCTCCATGTAGCCGACTACACCTACGGTGCGTTGACCTGCAGCGATACGACACTGGTCATTCCTGGATTTAACCGGGTCGCAGCGCTACCTCTCCACTCGCACCTGGGCTGCGTCACGCCGAAAAACTTCCTCTCCTGACACACCTAGACCGGCTCACGGCACTACCTCTCCAGTCATGAGTCTCTGCCTGGGCCGCGCGGCAGCGGTACTGAGACACCTCTGACCAGCGCAGCACCGACCGCCGTTGTGTCTCGGCGCTACCTCTGACCAGGGCAGGGCCGTCCGGCCGGCCGGCCGCCGTGGCACTGCTTGGTATGCCCGACCTGGAGCCGACAGCAATTATCATCGCGCGGCCGTGCGCTAATTGGATGCTATCTGAGCGGTCCGGCGCGGCTCGTGCACGGTACTCGGTCGGGACGCGCCGGGCAGCCGACGGGACGGCGCCGCCTGGCCACCGCCGGAGGAGCTGTCGTCAAAGTCAGGGAGCTGGGGTCGGAGATGACACCACAGTTGAGGCGACGGAAGCACATTCAGGATCAGAGGATCTCAATGATCGGTGCAGAAACTATTCGATGCTTAGCACACAAGCGCCGGAGCTGCCGTCAGAGTCAGGATGGGAGCTGGGGCCAGAGATTAAACCACAGTAGAGGCGACACAAGCACATTCAGGATCGGAAGGTCTCCATGATCGGTGCAGAAACTATACGATACTAATCAGACAAGCGGCTTTTCTTTGACCACCAGTGCCTGAGCAGTGACAACCCTGGCCGGTCCCTGGTCTTTATGGTCCGATACGGTCCCCTGTGGTCCGATACGGTCCATTGTGGTCCAGCGCGGTCCCACCCTCCCCCACCAGCGCGCGCAGCTGTCGGCCCCTCACCTCCGCACTCCGATAGCGAGTTACGAGTGACCGCCGTCCGACTTATGTGGCAGGTATGTCACCGAATAACGGACGCGGCCGCAGCGCCGACCGTAACACCGCTGGTGTTCGACATATATAACAGCGCCGCCGCGATAGTGTTGACATTGATAGCCGAAACGTGCCCGGACGCTGCCGTACATAACGCCCCGGGAGCAGAGCCGATACTGATGTCGCCGGCATGCGGCCGACCGGCGATCAACCACTGACGGCTACTTCAAGGCTGCCGACGGCCCGTTACTCGCGGCAGGCTGGCAGAGATCACCTTGATCAACATGTTGGGGCGGCCATCCGCAGTGCGCGGCCGCGCCCCGCCCGTTGACAGCGCGCACAGCCAGGTGGTTGGATGGAGGGCTGAGCCGGGCGCAGCTGATTCGGATGTGATGTCTGAAGACTGGTGTGGCTCGTGGTTTGTTGATGTGTGATGTAAGCTGGTTTGTGATTATGTGTGATTACTGGTGATCTTATAGGCACGGATTGCGGAGGATGTTTTGTAAACCACAGCATCACCAGTCACAAATGTTGGCAAGATGTGTCCCCCACATCCAAACAATCTCGTCATACCCCAGTCCATTCTGATTCCTCCGTGTGAAGCAATGTGTGATGCCTGCCGATCAGTCTCGTGACACTTATGTCATTCCATTTCAGATTCGCCACCGGTTCGGCTGCTATGACGAGATCGCCGAGGTACAAGGCCGCCGTGTGCGCCACTGTAATTGGGTGCGCTTCATCCGACACACGAGCGTGTGCACGCCAGACGTCAACCTGGTCGGGTCCCGGTTCAGAGGTGAGGACGACAGGGTGTGTGGAGTAAACCATGCATGCCTTCCTAATTTTGTTTTTGTTTTTGTAACCTAGCTCCTATGGTAAGGAAGGAAGTGGGTGGGCTAGCACGGAGATGCTAGCAGGAATGCGCTGTGGTTCAAAGGCTCTAGGGAAATTGACACGCTTGAAAAACATGGAAAAGGGTAGCAATTAAAAGTTAAACATTGGTAGAAAAGGAGCTATCTGGCTAATGAAAAACAAGAGGAAGACGCTACTTAGCATGATGAAAACGGAAGCTGCTGTTGCCGAACACTTACAAACAGGAATAAGGAAAATACGATCGCGTTGTGCTGCTACTCAAGATGATATGTTTGATAATGAGAACGATGGGAGCCATAAATTAAACGCGTGCCCACTGCTCAACCACGACGTGGCTGACTGTTGACTACAATTGTGCGCTCCAGTTATCTACCATCTCAACATATCATTCGCCTCGGCGGTCTTCCAACTGCAACAAGTGGAGCATTATTCCTCTAACCAGCGCTTCCAGCACTGACAGCGCCTTTGACAGCCAATAGCGGCTGCTCGGACAATGCCGACTCGCTGTCGGGCGCGGACAGCCGGGTCTGTCTGTCGGGTGCAGTCTTGTCTCCTCCCTGTCACACCGGCCGTTTACGCTGCACCGGTCTCTCTCCGGCCGCCGCGGTTCCGCGTACCGGCCGCTTCGAGGTGCGCAGCAAAAAGACGCACCGCTGCCGGCCGGCCGTCGGGCGCGGCCCGGCCGTCCCGCCGTCGTATCGGAAAGCCTTTGTCGCCGTCGGCCGATCCGACGATAATATTGTCTGGACGCGCCGCTTTTGTTCGCCGCGAGCAGAGTGACCGCGGCCGGTAGCCGACTGAGAACTGTACAGAGCTGCAGCCGCGCAACCGATCGCCAATCAACCCATTGAGCCTCGACGGCTGTCAGCGAGCTCCGAGCCGCTGCAAAAATAGCGGCCACAATGGCGGCGATAGGCATCGGAAGCAGAGCCACGCTCGGTGCTCGCGCACAGCTCGAGCAATGCTGGGCACGTGCGCTGAATTGGTCGATCAGTGCACACGCGAATTGATGACACACTGGGCACGCGTCATTGGTGATTTTCCCTGTGGAGTCATCGCAGGTGGCGAGAGGCCGCGATAGGTTATCAGGGGTCATCAGGGGTCATCATGGGTCATCGATGACCAACAGGAGTTCCCAATGAGCGTCAGTGATCACAAGATGTCATATCGGTTCACAGCGGTATCTATATAGACCAAAAGTGATCACCAGCGCGTCTGTTGGAAGTGTTGGAACCGATTTGCCAGCAGCTTTGTGCAAAGGTCGCGAGTGTTGCCCGTCTCGCCAATCATCAGCGGCAAACTGCCCCGCCGCCACACCGGTCAGGACCTCACACGCCGGTCTGCTCAGTACCGTCTGCCGTGACTCAGTCGGTGCGGTAATGGTTTCCGCGGCGGAGATTCCTGCGGCGGCGCTGCAGCGGGGCCGTACCGGACCGGAGGCCGACCAAGGCCGTTAGCGGTGTGCCGAGGAGTCACTGCCGCCGCCGCCGCCTCTCTGTGATCGATGGGAGCACGAGAGCGTACCGAGAACGGCGGCCGCCGCGGCTCGGTTCGGAGTAGACTGGAGTTATGATGGCTGTGGGATGGTTGGCGGTTTGAGAGCGAGCGATGCTCATTAACACGTTCTCAGAAACGACGCCGCTAGGGGAGGGAATCACTCAGTTTAGTAGATAACATGAGCATTGAACAATGGGCGTTCGCGTTATCTATGACTTATAAAACCGTTTCCAGTGTGCACCCCGCGTCCGGCCCCTCTAGCAGCGGTCACATGTGGAGCTCATTAGTCATATCAACCCGCCCTCTCCCGCTCCGATCACCGATATGACTTTGATCATTTTTAATGACACGGCTAGCCATTGATCCATAGCTAACACGTGCATACATCATGCATGCATAGATAAAGCATATATCTCACCCCGGTTGATGGCCGTTTCAATGAGCCGCACGTTTGTGATTGCCGCGGCGGGCGCCGGCGGAACTGACCGACCGCTGGGCCGCCCGCCCCGGCCGCGGGGGTGCCTCTCGCTGCCTCTGACCGGGATCCCTCGCGCTGCCTCTGACCGCCCGCGGGGGTCCCTCGCGCTGCCTCTGACCGCCTGCGGGGGCCCCTCGCGCCTCCTCTGACGCTCCCCACCTCCCCGCAGGAGAGCCCATTTACGAAGTGATCCGACCGATCGCCGCACACTCGGAGATCGTGGTGTTCTACCTTCCGGAGCCGCCACAAGAGGAGTTTGTCCTGCCAGCAGTCGCCTACCTGAGACACTCGCTCTACAAGAAGACCATGTATGCCATCCTTGAAGGTAAGTTACTGTGGTAATGGATGGTTGTTTTTCGGGGATGTGGATCTTTCAATATGGTCTTATGTCTGAAGTGGCCGGAATCTCACTAACTTTTAAACTGTAATTTTAACCTTTTCTTCCTTTTCCTCTCCACTTGTCTGACACACACAAGCACAACTGTCCCTTCAGTTTCCTAACGCGGTGTATTCGAACATATAGCTCAAGCTCTGCTCAGAGTCCCTATGTCTCGCGGCCCTTCCAGCGTTAGATCGGTCGGCCGGTCACTCGAACCGTTCTCTCGTTCGTTCAGCCCGGGTACCACCGTCCGCTGAACAGCCTGAGGAGCGGGCGGTACCGTCGCCAGTCGCTCTGACCGATCGGTCTGGCCTCTCTGACCGATCGGTCTGACCTCGCTGACCGATCTCGGTGACTCGGTGTTGCCACCCTGCCCGGTTACCTCTAGTGAACAGCCCCTGCGGAGCGGGCGGTACCGTCTCTCTACCCTCCGTGCACCGACCGATCCCGCTGAGTGCCGGCCACCGCCAGAGCTCGGACAATGGAGCCAATTTGTACCGTTTTGGGCGTGACCCCACGGTCGGTGATGGATGGGCGCTACCAGAGCAGAGCTCATGTTCCAGCGCAGGGCGTCATAAAACACACACACTGGCCGAGTGGGCGGGCCGCCGCGCCATCATCGACTGTGTGATCGGGAACGGTAGGTGATTTGTTAGACCGAGAGGTTGATGGCTAAGAGATGATACACCAGTCATTCATTGTAATGGAGGAAATATACCGGCGCGAGGCTGATTAATGGCCATCGATATGGACTCTGCAGAGTGTATGGTGGTGCTCCGATTTTGCTTAGGTAACTTGAGTGGAGAGATGATCCAAAGCTGCGAATGGAAAGGACTCGCAATGTTCTGCCCGCCTCCTCCTCAATCTTGAGTGGAGAGGACTATGAGAACGCGCCAGGTTAGCTGCATCTGGTCGGCCTAGTCAGATACTGAGACTCTTCGACCGTTAGACCCAATTACAAATGAGTAATAACACAAGCGCCCACGCTACGCTGGCCGAGTCTCGCCATCATAACTCAGCGGCGAAAACTGCGACTGAACTCGGCCATCGCATCTCCTCCATTGCTCCATACCGTCCGGCGGTCTCTCTACCGACAGGCAGGCTGCAATGCGAGCTGACGCCGGCCGCTCCTCCGGGCGCTACACCCGAGCTCAATGGTACGGCACGGGTCGTAAACTCGGGTGCGCGGGATGCTGGGTGCCTTGAGCGGACTGACCAAAGCAATGACCCGAACACTGACCTGAGAGCGGCAAATCAGAGCCATGTCATTCAGAGCACTCTTGAGTACCGCAAAAAAAAATCCTGGGAGAAAGAGGGAAAGTCAGAATATAATCAGTAGAATATGAGACATATTATTTTCAATGAAAAAGAATCAGTGAGCTGCAGATCAAACCCAGCGCAGATCAGTCGAGCAGCGAGAGCTCACCGAGAGCTCGCCGAGAGCACCAGCCGTCAGCGAGCAAGCAGCAGCGAGTCCGCGCCGCTTAGGCCGCGATTTATCGGTGACGCGAGTTTAATGCGGCACGATCGGTGACGATAGCGGCGCGGTCCCCGGCGCGCGGCTATAAACCGGCGGGGAGAGAGGTGACGGGCGCTGGGCCGGTGTCCGCCTGCACCGGCGCCCGGCCCACTGCAGCCGTATCGCCGCTCCGATTAATGCACCGCCGTGACACATGAGCCCCAGGACGAGGTGGTAACACATTCCATTTTGAAATTCATTCATTTATAATCGTGGTTTATGCTCGAGTGGGCTCATTCGTTGGTGAGTGTCGTATAATCGCATCGAGAGGTGACATCAATAAGGGCGAGCATGTCACGGACTGCAGGCTGTTTGAAGCCTCTTCTCGGTCAGTAAACATTTCAACATTATATCAATGCATTATGCATGCATCTTTTATTACACCATCCACAACTTTCAGTGGTCAGCGCCATCAAGTCCCGCTCCCAGTACCTCTTTCATCGGGTGCCCCACTCCCCACCCCTCCCACCAATATTTACATTCCCCCGGCCCCGGCACGGGCGGCGCCGCTCGCGCCGCGGTCCCTCCGTCGTTTTTCTGGCCGGTGTGTTGGCGCCCGCGTGCGATACCCGCGCCGCCCGTCGCGCCGCGTCCGCCGCCCTGTCGACGGCCCAGTGTGGAGCGGTCGGCGGCCGGCGCTGGCCGTCGGTTTTCTGCCGACCGCCGACGCACCCGTCCGGCACACGGCGCAAAAACACGCTCAGATTCACAGTCGGGTTCAAAGTCGGCACAGAATTAATTAACAATGAGTAAAAAGGTAGATTAATCACGGGTAAAAAGCGGCCCGGTCGGCGCGCTGGCAGTGGCGGTGGCGGCGCCGGCGGCGAGCTGCTGAGGGTCCGACTGCCGCCACCGGCTGCTCGCCGGTACCCTCGCACCCAAAGGTCACGGTCGGGTCACCATCGGCGGGCGTCGCCGGCGCAAATCGGCACCAACAGCCGCCCGGAATGCAGGTAACGAGCGACCGGCGCCACTCACAGCCACCACACAGGAAGCCAGCCACGGAACCCAGCGAGTTATTAGAATTCCACGTCTGCAATACGGCCCCGCAGTGGCAAATGTCAAGGTGGGGGCAGGGGTCGGTGGGCGGACCCGGGCTCAGTATGGTTTATCGTCGCTACTCCACTGATACCAGTTACATCCCGGACATCCGAGCTGCATTAGCAGTAGGAAAAGTATACGTTATCCCAACTAACCACCGTTTGTTGTGCAATATGTTTAATTGATAAAAAGGCTCGCTATTCGGCGGGTAATGCTGTTTCGTTGCCGATGTAATGAGACCGGCCGGAGGTATGCCACGGACGGCTTATCCGCGGCCCGCTTCCCACGTGCTCCCCGGCCGATATCGGCGTGCAGTGAACCTCACCGACCCCGGGTGACCACTGACTCCGACCGGAATATCCCCGTCTTTGACGTACTGACCGATTGGATGTCGTAAGGTAACAATACGCTAGGCAAATGACATTGGATTTTTGTTCATCAGTGACATACCTAAGCGTTTCTTCCTTGAGGTAGCACATTGCAATGCTATTGAATTCGGTGCCTAATCGGAAAACATGTGCTGTAGATATGATTCCACTCGAGACGACTCAGATTTTAGCTTACGTTTTTTGTTAAGGACGGATAAGACCTCAATTTGCGTCAGCAAAGGACCTATTGAAGCGTACAGAAATGATAAGTTATCTTGATAAGTGCACAACTTCCGGGTAATTGCGTCATAGTTTTTTTTTAGTCTTGAACTTGACAAAAACCTATACGAAAATCTTATTCTCGAATAATTGAACAGCTTGACCAGTCGATTTAATGCCACTGATCAATAACACGTCACACGCTTTCCAAGACACCATTTTCATTTCTCACAATTCGTCAAAGTAAAGGAAAAGCGAGGACATGTTCAGCTTGAAGTGGTCGTCTTCCACTGACTTTCTGCCACCCTGCTGACGCTGTCCCATCTCCCTAAAACTGTGCAGTTGACTCCCTGTCACTCTAACATGCCACCCCTTCCCTCCACAGACAGCCCTCTGGACCTGTCAGTCTCCCTGCTCTCCCGGCACCGGCAGCGGGCCGCCAGTCCGCGCCGTCCCCCGCCGCCACCTCCCGTCATCGCCGCGCCCGAGGAGCGCAAGTCGGTCGCGTCGCCGACGTCGACGGCGTCAACGCTCTCTCTGTGCGAGTCGGAGCCGACGCGGCTGGTGGCGGCGCCGCGCCGGCCGCGCGAGCGCACCATGCTGCCGTGCAGCGTGTGCGGCAAGACGTTCGACCGGCCGTCGCTGCTCAAGAGGCACATGAGGACGCACACAGGTGAGACGGGCAGCACAGAGGGGCTGATGAGGCGATAGCTATCGGGATTCAAAGAAATTCTTAAGATGGCTAGATAAACGGGAGCCATGCATGGCTGCTGTACATTGTGCATGTGTACTTCGTTCAGCTAGGAGGACGAATCTCTAGTAAATGCAAGCCAGCAGTCTCCGCGAGCTCAGCAATGTCCGCAGACCATGACAGCCAAAACTGATGCCTCTTCCTCTCTGCGTCGACAGGCGAGAAGCCGCACGTATGTGATGTCTGCGGCAAGGGCTTCAGCACCAGCTCCAGCCTCAACACGCACCGGCGCATCCACAGCGGCGAGAAGCCGCACCAGTGCGGTGTCTGCGGCAAGCGCTTCACCGCCTCCAGTAACCTCTACTACCACAAGATGACCCACATCAAGGTGAGGAGACCGGACGGTGGCAGCGGCGCCGCCCGGTCAGCCGGCGCGGCCCGCGGCGGCGCAGGGTTCGCGGAACGCCGCCAGAAAATAACAGCTAACCGGCCCAGTAATGGGGCTCAACTGGCCGGCAATTTCGGCCGGTAAGCACATCGGGCCGCGTCGTAAGTGTTGATGGGCTAATGGGTTTTGGCTTCCGATTAGTTGGCGCTGCAGAAGGGAAATATGGTGCGGCGTAGAGCCTCTGGGCGGCGGTGCTGCTCGGAGCGGGCCAGACGGAGGGGTTAGAGGACGCAACAAGGAGGAAAACATAAAATATCGCAAAGCATAGGTCACCTTGTTACGTAACATGAAAACAATATTGCGGAAAAAATGGAGGAGCTATTAAAAGAAATTCCCTTGCAGATGAATGGATGCAGCTTAGTTCGACTAAGCTGCATCTAAGTTGCTTGTAATCTAAGCTGCATCAAAGTTGCATCAGGTTGAGCTAAGTTTATTAGCTCAACCAGTCGATGGTTGAGCTAATAAATCCGCACTTTTCCCATGTACCCTATTTGCCTTGTCAATGCAACATTCCCAGCTCAACAAATACATCCAACTTCACTTCTTCCAACTCCCACTTCACTCCGCCTGGCCTTCTCCACTCCTTCACCCGATCAGCCCTCCTCCGATCACCCTATGACCGAGTCATTCCTGCGGCGGGGACTAATGTGCTCCCGGTACTGCACAAGCGCCACCGGCGACCCCACCGGCGCGGCGGGCCGCTCCCAGGAAGCTCCTACACCGCATTCCTGCACCCGGTGCAATATTGCACGTGCAGCGGCGGTGGCGGTGGTGGAGGGTTCACCGGTCGTGAGAGCCGACGACGAGGGCTTAACCGTGGGAGGAGTGGGGTGGGGACTCTCAGCAGGGAGCAGGGGCTGTCAGAAGGTGTCTGAATTAACCATTGGGGACCTCCTCAGCAACAGAAGGGATGCATAGCCACTGGGGAGACGGCCGATCGCGCAGTGACTGGAGCTAGCCGGGAGGAACAAACTTTCTGGGAGGTGAAATGGTAAAGCAATGAGTATCAGTTTGTCAGGCTGGCATCAAATAAGCTGGCAGGGAGCAGCTCCGCAGAGTTCGCCACTGAATTCGCCACTGACTTCGCCACCCGTCAGCCGGCCTGGAGAGCCTGTCTCCCGGCTCTCACTCGTTTCGTCCGCCACCGCCGGCCGGTCTGTAATTACAGTCGCATGGTGCACGCGCGCACCGATTGCACGTTCGTTTCTCCGTCAGCGCGGCGCATTGTGTCGCCGGGAGACAGCGGACACGTCTCGGCCGCCTGTTGTTGGCCTGTCGGTTTTCTCCGGTGGACGCGCGGCCACGGATGGCTGGAGATAGCCGGTCGCCGGTGTGCAGCGGACCGGCCGGGCGGCACTGACCGGGGGCTGCCGTGCGTGGCGGAGCGACGGGAGGGGCTGAGATGGCAGCGCGACTGGTCGTCACACTAGGATGGTTACGGGTAAACCGGGATGGTGGTGGGGAGATGACTGCTGCAGCCGGGCTGGCAGGAAGAAGCAACTGGTGTTGAGAAAGCAGCGAAAAGTTGTCAAGCAATCAAGTCAGTCAGGAATTGCAGCGAGTCAGTTTGCTAGTCATCTGGTGCAATATCCAAATCACTGCACGAAGAAGCAAACAATGTAATCGGTTTGCAAGCATCGTAGCAAGTTTTAGGGACAGCAATCAAGGCGTTATATGACGACGCTATTCAGAATTGACCAACAGCCGCCGACTTCAAACAAGCGGACAATTCTGAACTTCGTTTCAGTCCGCTCTTTCCAGCCTGTCTGTGACCGATCCGACAGCACTTTGTTCTCGGGTATGATTGACAGTATCAGACGCGTGGCGAAATCAATCGGGTCGCGTTATCAGATATAGCGCGGTTCATTCACAGCCGGAATGTACGCGGCGATTTTTCTGTACCTTTGTTGTGGCTTTCAGCTTCTGAGAGTAGATAGGTAGCGCTAAGAAGTAGCGTTCGAGGAAAATATTTCCTTGCAGAGTTCTTACAGTTCTTGACTGTGATAAATGAACTGTGACAATTGTCATAACAGGACTATGGAGCTTAGACAAGTTGCAAAATATTGCTACATTTGTTGATTTTCCTGATTAGGTATCGGAACAATCTTTATTTTTTAACCTAGCACAGCCGATGAGATCTTGCCGATGAACCAGTCACCATCAACCACACAGTGACACCGAACAATATTTTTCCACTCAAAGCATGCAATTACAATGTACAATCTGTACAGTTTTCGTGTAACCATTATCGGTCACTTCCCCGTACTGTAATTCCACTAATCACTAAATATCACCTCCGATTCCCCTCACCACTCCCAATATGAACTGCCCAAACCCACGCAATACGTTAACCAGAAGCTGCACAACTGACTTGTAAATGCCACTCTGGGCGGCCGAGCGGGCCCATTGCAGCGGAACCGATTGGCGACCAGATGTTACCGTTTGGATGCGGGGCTGTTATCGCCTGTCTTCTGCGGTCGAGTCTGCGCGGTGATTGGGAGCACCTGCGCCGGAACTGACGCGGGCCGATGGACGCGGTGATGCTGCAGTATGTCCACGTTCCGCTGGCTCGGGCCTGCAGAGATGGAAGGATGGAGGGCGGTGCAGCTCGGCAGGTTGGTAACTGTCATGAAGTAACGGAGCGGATATACCTCGACGGATATCGTGAGACGGTGCTCTTCGAGTCCACTGGTGCTCTGCTTCGGTGCTCCTGTAACTGCAGTGCCGGAGCTCCGATGACGTGATCCTGCTCCCGTGCAGTGCTCCGGTGTTCTGATGAACGGTACTGTGCTCCGGTGCTATGGGGCCAGTGCTCCGCTGTCTGTGCTCCGCCGGTCAGCAGCGGGCGGTTCCGTGCCGCGCCGGCCGCGCTGCAGGCCGTCCGATAGTCGCCCGCCCTCGACTGCTAGCCCTCGACCGCCGCCCTCGGCTGCTCTAGATGTGGCCAATCATTCCCGCTCTGCTCTCCCGGCGACTCGGGGGCCGCGGGCGGCGACGACAGTACCGCAGCGAGGAGACCGCAGCCGGCAGCTGGCTACAGCGCCCTGTTGGTAATGCCTGCCGTACTGCTTCACATCCCTTCTTTCCGCTACGCCTGTCCGACTGTCCGTCTGTCCACAGGGTGACATTGCCCTGATAGTGATGGTGCTTGCCGAACTGTTTCCTATTTCTTTTTCGCTTTCTATCTGTACGTTTGTCTGTTTCCTTCTTTCCCATTTGCCAGTATGTCTCCCATCCTCTCTCTCTCTCTCTCTCTCTCTCTCTCTCTCTCTCTCTCTCTCTCTCTCTCTCTCTCTCTCTCTCTCTCTCTCTCTCTCTCTCTCTCCCTCCCTCATCTACCCCCACAGTAGCTGCAGAGTCAGAGTCACTGCCTCCACCCCATCTGCACCACCACTACCACCCCACAGTAGGCCGAACGGCAGCCGGAGGCACAGCACGGCCGACCACGGCATGCCACACCAGTCACTGCCAATAGAACCTGAACCGGGACGGGAGGGGAGGGGCCCCGGGCGAGGTTGACAGCGCCCGCAGAGCAGGGCCGCTTTGTCCGCGACACGACCAATGTTGCGTGTCCGCTCTGCATGCAAGGGGAGAAGGAGAAGACAAGACGAGCGCAGAGATGAGGAGAGAGAAGACTGAGGATGAGAGAGCGAAGATGTGAAGAAGGAAAGTGTAGCAAGGAGATGAAAATGAAATGGAAACGAGAGCAAGGAAACACGTTAAATGATGCAACCGAAAAGTTGCATTTCCAGTTTCATCATTCAACGCCATCTTCGACCAGTCTCTCCCATGTTCATTTCAGGGGTGTCCCGTCTGAATATATAACATCGCCAGCGCGAATGAGAAGAAGAGCGAAGACCGGGGAGAGAATAGTGGAAAGAGAAAGATGAGAGAGAGAGAGAGAGAGAGAGAGAGAGAGAGAGAGAGAGAGAGAGAGAGAGAGAGAGAGAGAGAGAGAGAGAGAGAGAGAGAGAACGAGCGATCAGAACAAAAGAAGAAAAGGAGGGTGAGTGAGCACGTGCTATCGAGAAGGAAGACAAAGCGAGGAAAACAAGATCCCTGGTCGGAATTCAGTATTACGGTGATAGCACGGTGCTTATGGGACGCCACCCTGTTGTCTCCGGGCTGCGAGAGACACGCCGAGAAATTATTGTCTGGAATTTATTATGGCCTATGGGATCGGGCCAACAGTAGCCGGAATAGGCCCATTGTTTGGCTCTATGATAAATCACGTCCATTTAGGCGTGTTGGGCCGGAGGGCAGTGGGCTGAGCACTGCCGCCGGCGGCGGCTCGCTGAGCCGGTAATGTCAGGACGAGCGGCGGCGCTGGAGCCGGGTCACGACGGAGGGCCGGCCGCAGGGCACGGCTGATGGTTGCGGGAGATGACCAGCGACCGGCTACTGGCTACCGGCTCTGCTCGGTGGCAGAGCTCAGCAGCACGGCTTGGCTGGTCATGAAGGGTATTTATTCACTGCACAGTGGCAGCGCCAGATGGCGCGGGAGGTAACTTTGTCAGCGAACTCGTATATCGGTGGATGGATAAAGTTGACGTGGGCGAAGATTCCAAGCGCCGGTCAAACGTCGCACGTGCGTATAGTTAAAGCTCACGTCTGAACAATGCCGAAAACACTCGCAGTTAGTGGCGAGCGCAACAAAGGCCAGATCTAGAGATGACGCGCTGCCCTGAGTGATTTCGGAAACAATAGAACCCCTTTCGCCAATTAGTCGCAGTGGAGATCTGCAGATCACCCGGCGGACAGATCACCGCCTGCCAGTATTCTGCCGCTATCGGCTGCTCGTCACCCCTTCTGTTCTGTCCGACGTTTCCAGTGCGGCAATAAAACGACAATAAAACGTTCAGCGCTGAAAACCGGGGCCGGCTATTGGGGTGGGGGCTATTGATGTGATCTAGACCAGCGAGCACCATCTGACGCAGCCGAATAATAACCCTTGAACGGACCAGAAAACGAGCAACTTCAAAGCCAAATGGTCGAGATCTAAAGCGGTACTGTTCTTGTACACGAGTGGTGTGTTTAAAACAATACCAAGTACTTGATTGTTGACAGTGCACTGCACATCAGACATCATTATCTGATTTATTTGAACGATGCATCATCATTTGTTCATAAGGACATCGTCATTCATCATCAGTTTCCGCTTAGGATCTCGTCCGAGTCTCGCCACCGATCGGCATTTCGTAACCGTATCACACACACCCAGCTGTAAGCCGCCGCTCCGGCAGCCGCTCCGTATGCGCGCCGGGCACGTATAGCGGCGCACCACAATGGCCTCTCTCGATCTTGTCACCGCGCTGCACGGCTAATCACAGGCGCGCCACTGCCGCCGCGCCGCGCCGCATCTCGGCGCAGCCTCCCGACGCAATCAAACGGTCATTGCGAGCATGACTGGCGTCCGCGCGGCCACCGGCCGGCCGCACTCGCCAGTCGCCATATGTCCGAGCGAAAGTGCACGAGCGACGACGGCAAACAGTGGCGTGTGCGCGGCGAAAACGGCGCGGTGGCGACGAGCAGAGACCGCTGCGGTCGGCGTCGGTCCGAGTTGCGGTTTAGGTTAGTCACGGTCGACCCCGGACAAACCAGAGGACGGGTCACGGATGTCGGCACGGTTAGGGGCGGTTAGTGGTGCAGAACCAGCAGCCCCGGTAATTTACTGTGAAATGTCCAGCCAAAGTGGTCTATCTGACTTAACCACTACCTGTGGGATTGCCTGCATCCGTCATCTCAGCCGACAATCAACAAAATTCAGACACACAAAATATCATTATTCGTCGACAAGCCGTCGACCTCTAATAAACAAACATTAGTTAAGCATTCGGTGCGAACGAGATTTGTCTGCCATCTCTTAGGGGCTCTACCCCAGCTGTCGTTGAAGGAGCTTTCCCAGCTATGCATATCCTGAAGGGATATAGCCACTTGTACCTCAGAGGAGCGCTGGCTCATCGGAGGAGCTCAGACGACAGACAGCCTACCCCAAAGGAGCTTTGTCGGCTATCCGCCGATCGGCGGCGGGCGGCCAGCGCCTCGCGGTCTGGCCAGGGCGCTCCGTGAACGGTCGATTGGGATCGGGTGTCGTGCTATCAGCGGTGCGCCCCGCCCGCATATCGCGCCCATGCAGGCGCCCCGGGCCTTCCGGAGCCGACACACACCTGGGTATCGGTACATCACGGTGGCAGCTGCCCCCTGTTCCCCTCCCTCCCGAGGGAGGCGACAACAGAGCCGGTACGACGCAACGCGCCCGCATCGCCCGGCGTCGGGCCAGGTGAGGGCGGCGGCGGGTGGCGAAACGTTATTAATACCGAGCGGGCACCTTTGTTTTTGTCGGACAGAGTTGTGGTGAATCAGACCCGGGTCTGATACTGGTGACGCAATCAATGCGCTAAAATGATTTACAGTTTCGTAGCTTTGCTGCTAGAAATCGAGCTTCAATCTGGCGCAAAAATATTGATAATGACACATTACATTTGACAGACGCTGGGATAAATCACATCACCATTTTATCCGCCGCCCTGGCCAGCAGAGGCCAGTGGTAGCCCAGCCTGTGTCGGTGCGTGCGCAGCTCCACTCCGCCGGCGGCGGGTATGGGCCGGGCGGTGGCGCGGCCAATGCCAAAGAGCCTGCAGCCGCGCCACAATCCATATTCATCGGCCGCTCGGCCGCAGAAAAACTAATGATATCCTATCGGAAGAAGTCTCAATTTGTTCTGGTGCGCGGCCCCGGCCGGGCGGCGCGCGATGCCGCTGCCGATAGGGCCGGCCGTGGTGCGGCTCCGCCCGGCCCATTAATGACCCATATGCTACAGCGGCGCCGCAGTAAAAACCGCAGCGCGCCGATAAACACCGCGCCGCGCCACGCCGCGCGGTGTCACGCGGCGTGGTGCGGAGGGCAGTGCGGAGCGGCGCGGCGCGGCAGGGTAGGGCCGGCCGGCGCCGATCAACTGACCACACTGAGATCTCAGAACAGGGGCACGCCCTGCACAAAGAGATCAGACGAGCTGTGAGCCAGATTACAAATCCCTACATCATAAATCCCTCTGAATAAGTCAAGAACTATCCAGGCTTATTTCAAACATCGGACCCATAGAGACCCAGCCTCGCAACCGTCCCTCCCTGCCCTTCCTGTTGTCCTGAATGGTTGCGCAAGACCGGCGGCGGCTGCATAACGGCCGGCTGATTCTTGTTACACATCACCGGCAGTGTAATTACTGCGTGTACCGGGTCCCTCGGGACTGACCGCAGGCGGACAACGCCGAATGAATGGTCGATCCGGCCCGCCGAGCGCTGCGCCCCAGAGCAAGTCATCTCCGGTAAACGGAATACACGCGCGCTACACTCGGTGCTCTATTATCAGAGGAAGAACACTGCAATGACATCGTGTTCGACACTGCGTAAATCATCGGCCGCACCGACAGCTCCTCTCGCATGAGCCGCGCGGCGGGGTGATCGTCTCCGATTACCAGTGCCGCTCCCCGCAGCACCTGCGTTCGTGCGCTGTCGGCGTTAGGTGGTCTAATGAGTGACCGTCTGACCGCCGTGTCCTGCCGTTCTGTGGAGGCAGCGGCCACCCAGCGGCGGTCTGCCCGCGCCCCCTCCCTCCGCCCGCGGACGGCAGCTAAAGACCAGGTGGCGGGGCCGGCCAGCGCCGGTCAATATATCAGCTGACCGGGCTCTGTCTGCCATACTGCACACCTGATGGCCCCACTGCACGCCGCGATGGGATTAGATGGGAGAGGGACTAGGATGGGACGGGAAGGAATGGAAAGGGATGATACGAGGCATAGTATGAAGGGATGGGACAATGTTGGAAATGAACCTACCACAACTAAAGCACAGGTTTACACACAGGAACAGGCAAAATGTCCAGGATCACCTGCAGCAGCTGTGGCTACAGCAATGTGGGAGATGGCGAACTGGGATGGGCCATCCGGCTGCTCGTCTTCTGTCGAATGGACGACCTTGTCATCCGGTGACCACCGACCGCCCCATAAGCAGCGCGACAGGTCTCGGCGGTGACACCGCCTGTCCTCGGCTGAATCACCGACGGGTGGTCGCTGCAGTTCAGCTCAGCCGGCGCCGCGACCCGCCGGGTAATTCACGGGCCAACCCGCCGAGCCAGTGTCAGCGGCTGCACCGGCGCACGCAGACTTACACCACACAGCCTGAAATACGATACTGATCTGATTATTGAGAGCACCACGCCGCCTTTTGTGGTTTGGGGCCGTGCTCGTAATGTCTGCAGTGCAAGAGTGTGGTTTATATGCTGAATCTGGTGACGTTTGTGTTACAGGAGAAGCCGCACAAGTGCCAGCTGTGCTCCAAGTCCTTCCCGACTCCGGGTGACCTGAAGAGCCACATGTATGTCCATAACGGCTCCTGGCCCTTCAAGTGCCACGTCTGCAGCCGCGGCTTCTCCAAGCAGACCAACCTCAAGAACCACCTATTTCTGCACACAGGTGAGCGGGCCTTGTCAGAATACTGGCCATAGGGTTATACTGCATGAGATTTTCCACAAAATTAATTATTGTGTCCCTAAGATCTGTCCATTATGATATATAACGCCGGGCCATTGTCCATCATTAACTATGAGAAGCTCTGCAGAATGAATGCCAAGCCAGCGGCAACATACCACCGCCTAAGCCGGCATTTGCCACGAAAACGTCTTAATGTCGCCATCTGCGCTCATAATTGGTGGGACAGCTAAATTAGAGGCCACTTTAGCTTAGTTCTTCTGAGCGTTTAGAACAACTGGAATTGCATGTTTGGCTGGGGCGCGGCGGTGGACGGCTGCAGTATCTGCCGCCATCGCCACTCCGGTGGCAGTGGCGAGCTGACGATATCATCGCCGACATAGCTGCACCCGGCCACCGTTTGGGCGGATCAGACCCGCCGTCTGGAGTGTTACGTCAGGGGGCACCTCACTCCGGGTCCCCGCCCCCTCGAATGGATGGTGGCGTATCGGCGATCACCGCGGGACACGAAGTTACTCTGAAATTTATTTATAGACAGAACAAGCATGTGAGACGATAAAGATGGCAAGAAATGAAGAATACAATGAAAAATCTAGCTATTACATAACTGTTCTTGTGTGCTGCATTCCAGTGCGCATTGGAAACAACAATCGCTTTTTTATATTTACTCAACTGCTGTCGGGCTAACTCAAATTTTTCTATCAATGTATTCACAGTCAAAAACCAGAATCGTCTTCCAAAGATCTTTAGAAAGCCGGTCCTTCAGCGACTGTGGCCGATCCGTCCTAGTCCCCATCCTTCCACTCAAGCAAGGAGGTCGTCTCATCACCCTTCCCGGCCTCCTCCCCGGCGGTGGGCCCGGCCTCCTTGAGACCCTCCCCGGCTGTCCCCCGGCGGTCTCTCCGACCGCCTCCCCGGCGGTGGTCCCGGCGGGGGTCGTGTCGGCCGGCTCCATTAGGCCGGTACGACACGGCCCAGGCGGCGGCGGCGGTCACTACCATTAGGTGACGGGGCGGCCCGGCGGCGGGGCGGCAGTCTTTTTGTACCGTACCGGAGACGGCGGGGGGCGACTGATGAGGGTAGGGTCCGAGAGACGCGCTGTCACTACCACGTCATGAGCCGTGGGGTGTGAAGGGATTACTGAGATCTGGTGCGATAGGTGTAATGAATTCAATTAAGGAAAACTAGATTATTGATTCTTAAGCCTTAGAAGATGAGTTCTCCAAAATGGGAATTATGTCAAGAAAGTCGAACAATGAATGTGGATGTGATAGTGTGAGAGAGTAAGGAAAACTGGGTGATTCAATTCCAGGGCAACTTCTTGAAATCGTATAGTAGATTTGAAACGACGCTGCTCGGGATATTTTCGTCTCATCGTATCAGACAACTATGTAAACTCTCCGGCACTAATTATTTCCCAGGCTCGGATGGTGTCGCGAGAGACAATGTTATTACAGGCGTTAGGCATTTGATTCATGACGTCCACAATGAACAATGGTGCGTATATATCACAAAAAGCGCTCTAAAAACGTGATTGAGAAAAGACCTCACCGAGTACAATATCAATTTTCTGGCGCCGAAAACAAAAGCGTCGCGGCTGCCGACGGTTCGCTGGAGAACACAATGCTCCAAACTGCGCACTCACCGGGCCGTTTTGTTCTCTCCAATATCACGCGGTGAATATAGATTACTTAGTCACACTCACAGGCAAACAGATGCCGTCGGCAGCCGTGATTAATCGGAGCTGGATATGAGAGAAATGACGGCCCGGTGGCGGCGAGCAAGAGCGGCGTCCGGACGGCAGGGGCCCGCCGAGACGGTCCCGGAGCGCAGCCTCCCGGCCCGCGGCGCTCGAATTGATTCAGCACTCTGTGATGTGGTGGAAAATTGATGTACGGCCCGGCTGAATCGAGACTGGGTGGCGCTCGCCGGCACGGTCAGGGGTAAGACCATAAAACGATTTCGGTACCGTTCAGGGGGCCGGCGGCGTCATTGAAGAAGATGAGGTGCGCAGGAGACAGTCATTGATCCTTAATCAGTGGATCTGTCGGAGGTGCGAGATGGAATTTCCGCACCGGTAGGTGAAATGAAATTGTCTTAAGTGGGAAAGAAGTAGGAACTCGATAGACAGAAGAAGATAAACGCAATTTGCGGAAATGAGAAATCAGTTGCGCCTACAAAACACTTTTCAGGGATTTGGCTCCAGGGAGCGGTGACATCATAGAGCTAATAAAGACACATACATCGGTGGCACTGCGACCTATTCGCTGATGATGTGACCCGAGCGACACCCGGTGGTCAGTGCCATCCCTATCAGCTCCCGTCCGATCTCCCGTGACAGATCTCTGACCGCGACAGTAACCCGTCTCCCCGGGAGCAGCCGCCACCCGCCACCGACAATTATCACACCATCGCCTCCATACATCACCCCACGACAGTCGCCGGCGAAACACGGGATCGCGCCGCCTTCCCGTTACAATGCGGCGAAAAACTAATTACCCCGGTCGGTTCCCACGGTCGGGGGACTGATTTTGTTTGTGCACACGCCCCTATCGCGCCCTGCGCTGTGATAGATGAGCGACTTCTCTCGTGGGAGAGGGCTGCTGAGGGCGCCCGTGGACCATCTCTCTCGGTCGGCCGGTCCGCTGATGGGATGTGACAGGCTGACCGGGGTGATAATGGACGCGGGCACGGGACGGGTGGGGGGTCACAGGAGGCGGGCAAGGGACGTTTGGGGGTCACAGGAGGCGGCGGCGGAGCTACGTAGGACACTAGGACAGCAGCGGACAGTGCAGTGGCGGGCTCCTAGGGTCAACAGAGGAAAGAAGTGGGGCAGCTTGGGTCAGCAGAGGGGCGGGACTCGGTAGCAAGGCTGGTGGTTAGCCAATTGCCATTCCTTGATTTGCAAATTGTAAATTTTGCCACATAAGATCATTACGATTTTGAAACACCATTAATCATTTAATTTAGTAATGATACCAATTTTAGCTGTTAAAACCAGAAAACGTGTCACCAGTGATTACCAATGGATCACCAGTTTACAGACTGGAATCTATTCAATGACGATTTGGCGGGGGCAGCCAACGTCCAGCGAGAGACTGCGCTTCAGCACGTAAACCTAGCTGGTGACTGCATTTCAGTACATAATGCGAACTGGAGACTGCAGAACAGCACAGAAACGTAGCACTTTACATATGTCCAAATCGCCTAGAGCAAGCGCCGACTTAACTATCGACACATGGTTAGTAACTAAAACACTTATTTTTGTGACTTCATCATTCAAACTGCAGCAGTCCAAAGGCACTGAACACTGCATCCCATAGAATTTAGTTAGCCATCCAATCCACCGTCGTGAATAAGTGCAGACCGCAGCAATCTCCCGCGACCCCATTGATCTCTCCTCGCCATTGATAGCGGCCGGACAGAGTGGGTGAGTGAGGAGAGAGGGCCTCTATCACATCCGCGGGGCCGGCCCGCGGCACCGTCCTTCTGAAGTAGGCGTCTGTTTATGAGGACACAGCATGATGCACACTTACGTCGAGAAAACGGGGCGCCCTCCAATCGGCCGGCCAATTACAATCAATCGGAACAAAGCAAATGGGATCGCCGCTGGAGATGATGCATTTGTTTATGCGTCGGCGGCGTGCTGACGGCGGCTCGGGGGCCGAACAGGGCTCCCGTGGTGGTGGACGGTCCGCGGCGGCCGCCGCACAGTGGGCCGATATGCCATTCTAGCGCGACAGGGCCTGAATCTTCGAACGGAACCCTTGGTTTTTTCGCGAGTAATTCGCGTAAAAAGCGGCCGATCGCAACGAAACTTTCAGTACCCTCGCGATAACTACTTTTACAGCTAACCTGAAAATTTCATGACCCTGACCTTAATGATCTTTGACCTGTGACCTTCTTTCGAGACCATGTTTGGCCGGAATCGCGATTCAGCGTATGTCGGCTCGCATTAGCCGCGGGTTTGCAGTCTTTTCTTGGTTTAAAGCGTTCAAACATGGGATATTATGTTGCTCCCATGCATTAGGGTGGGTGTCAAGATCACCAGAAGGTCAGGTCAGGTCATTGACCTTTGATGACCTTGGTTCACTTTTTCGGGTTTTACATGTTTGTAGGCTAGTTTTTGGAGCTGAATTCGAATCTAGCAACCAATTGAACATTTATTATGTAGCTTTGGTACCTTCGTAACATGCTACAAAGCTGTCAGAGGCGGTTGCCACCTACTGCAAATACCCGGCAAAACCCTTACTGGTTGACCTGACCTGACCTGACCCGACCTGGCTTAAATGTATGAAGACATCATCTATGATCGTAAATAACATTATATTCCTGATCAGCACCCAAAAACCCATAGCAGCCACCCTTTACGACGTTCTAACAGGTCCCGATTTTCCCGACTTTTGGGTCATTGACCTGACCTGGAAGGTCAACCGATGACCTAGGACCTTACAATTGGGTACTATCAGCTTCCTCTTGTCACGGGCAACACGCTCGTCTTTTCCGCGAAGCTCTAGCTCGATCAGGGGCGAAACGGCGGGGGGCGGTATACGTTCGCGGCTGGAAAAACACCACTAGGGGCGAGGGTTAAGCAAATCTGAGGGCTTATTTCAGAAAGACCGCTAAAAGAGCAATTCAATGCACTTTTCCGCAACGGTGTAGCTCTATTGGTCCCCGAGGTAAGGGCCGGTTTTCGAGAAATGTTGATATATGCAACATTTTACCTTTGATGACCTCTGGTGACGTGACCTTTGACCTGACCTAGAAATGACTAATTACTCCATCTGGAATTTCGGGCGCTCTTTCGAATGCCACTTACTACGTGTCGCTATGTGGCCCAAGAGCCGAGTTAGAAGGGGAGTGTTCAATCAACACCTCCCGGCCCGGCGCGTTTGACGCCGAGCACCGGTCCGGCGCGGGTTGATGTTTGGCTGCTACATCCAAAGTCGCAAAAAGTCTCAAAAAATGACTGTTGGATCTTGTAG